AGCACATATGTGTAAAGATAACATGCATGCCAATACATAAGCATCTGAGTTACATTGCCCAGATTAAATCATAAGCTGCTAATACAAAGGTATAGCTCATAAGCTGCAACTACTCAAACAAGATTAGATCTTCATAATAATGAGAAAAGATGGGCGGTGATACCAGAAACCAAGACAAGTTGCAGCATTTAAGCTAAGCTGGCCGAGTGTAGTGTTATTTGTCTCTATTCTTAAGACAAGATCCTTCCAAGTAACCCCTGAACAAGACATCAGAAAGATAGTATTAACCACAGCGAGTGGACACCTCTTGTGGAACAAGATTTAAAGATGAACTTCAAGATAATGAAACATGCAGTTACATATAGAAAGATGAGCTGACAAAATTACCCTTGGGAAATTGGCGACATAATTAAGCGCCCAGCGGAGAGCACAAGTAGTGCAGCAACAACTACAAAAAGGGAAAGCAGATCTTGTATGCAAAGATATAAAAGCAGCAAATGGGCATACAAAAGAGAAACTGCAAGAGATCAGAATCGTAAATGGAACATTAAGCGGATAAAATCCGATGGTTTGAGGTACAGACTGGAACCAACCCTGAATTGTTTACAGGTATAGTCCATGCTGTTGGTTTCTTTACGAAGAACAGAGAATTAGATCGATGTCATCAGGAAAGGCAATGCAAGGGAAAAAAGATGAACGGGCAACAGAAAAAAATAAATAGAAAGAATTCTCATGCCATTTCAACTTTGAAAGATGGCCAGTACAGAATGATCTTATACATCAGGAAGAGGCGAAGAGATATGCCATGTCCAGTTGTCCACAAGGAGCAACATGCTCATAGAAATAAAAGAAGAAATAAATTTACTCTGCCTTCTAGAAAAAATCATGCCATCTACAATACAACACTCTGTTAATATCTACTCTTGTCAGCGCCATTGCTTCGCAATCTCCTCATCAAGCATATGGGTGGCCTGCTGCCTGGACCTATCATCCAGATTGGTATTGCTTGCCAATAAACTTCGTAGGGCTCGCAGTTCATCCAGGCTAGCTCTCTGGAAGAGCCCCCTCAGGACAATACTTGGTGGATTCTGAGGTAGGGTATGTTGATTACTAGTGGCAGCATGAGGCCTGTATCTCCAGTACTCTGTACAGATGCGATCTCTATCCCGAGCCTCAATTGCCTGTGAAGGATTAGAAAATAAGTTTACTGCAAAAATACCAGTGACCTATGGCTCCAACAAACTAACATAACTGGAAAAATCTTCAGCAGTGAATGCCAACTGAACCACTAAGTGCCATTCATGCAAATTAAGCAATCGTGAAAACTTAGCACCTGAACTGGGTTTATAGTTTTGACCATGCATATCACCTACACTGTTTGTTAAGACATTTGTTTTTACTGAGAACACCGATAGGATTGTTTTATTAATAATAAAATATCATTTTATAAGAATATGTACAAAAAATTAAGGGATTGGCAAGTGCAAGGTCAAGCCCCAAAGAAAGACACTACTGACAGGATTAGTGTTGAACTCATCCCTAATTATATGTGACTGCAGGAGCAAGCCTTTCTTAAAACCGGTCTACCAGGATAGGAAGCTGGGGATGACATTTTCAAAATAATGGTATTGGTCCTGAAATTAGTCAAGTGAATGCCAAGCACCAATGTCTCACCCGAACTATTTCTGGTGATAAGAGCCCAAACATTTCAAGACCATCGATAGATCCTGGAGGCTGCAGTGTAGGAACGTTAGGCCTTCCCATACTGAGTTGCCTCCGTATTTCCATGTTCAGCCTCTCTCTGACCATGTTCCAGCACTTGGTAGGCGACTCATTAATGAAAACTTCACCTGGGCAGTTCTCTACAGTAACCTGAAAATGCATCAAGTAAGTAAGATATCAACGATGCTGAAGAAGAGGTACATAGTACAGTAGGCACAAAACTGGAATTTACCATAAATAGAGGTCCTTGCAACCCAGCGTCTAATATTTCGGAAAAGTAGTATGCCATTTGAATTGGATCCGCGATGCTCCAGTATTTTACTCTGCTCCTAAATCCTGCATTTACAAAGAGATGGCATGTTAACAAAAAGCACCAAAACAGATGAAACTGCCTAAGAAAAAAATCATATACGAAGAAATAATATGGATAATCCGTAACATTAATGGGTAAAGGCAGTAGTATATTCAAGAATAATAATAGAAATCCTCCAGCAACGACCAAAACTGAAAGAAAGTATCAAACTATTAGCCAACGAACCTTTGGGGAAGATTGCTTGGCCTGAAGACCACATTCTCCCTGATAACACAGTACCAATTTCCAGAGGTTCAACAGAGCATTTGAATCGATGCACGACATTTGCTATGCGAGGACCCCTCTGTGGACCTCCATTCCTGTTGTGCATTTCCAGAGCAGGGTGTGCTATGGCGGGTGGATGGGCATGTTGTGCTACGGCAGATGGATGGGCATGTTGTGGTGCAACAGATGGATGGGCATGTTGTGGTGAGACAGATGGATGGGCATGTTGTGGTGCGACAGATGGATGGGCATGTTGTGCTGCAACAGATGGATGCCCCCTGGCTCTAACCTCTACAGTAGATTGAGATTCAGGTTTTCTTTGAAACCATCCATTGTTTGGTTGCTGATTGAAAGTTAAATTTCCATGATGGGCACTGGCTGAAGGAAAACGCCCGTGTGGATTTTGAACACTAGAAGGGTCTATGGGAACAAAGACACTGCTTGATGCTTCCTGTGACACACTTGGTGTCCGTGAAACATTTTGGTTAAACTGCTGACTCGACACAGTACGGAGCTGGCTGTTGCCTTTCTCAAGCATTATTGTGGCATTAGTCTCTGGTGTTATAAGCGCATGATCCTTGTCCGAGTGACAGAGAGTTGCATTAGAGTCGGATGCAATCAACCTGTGAGAAGTGTTTGAGCTATCTAAACTGGGCTTCATGTTGGTTCCGTCATGAATCATAGTAGGTGACCTGTTATGATGCTCAACAAATGATGATCTATATTCTCCAGTTTGCAAAGAAGATTCTCTACTCGCCTTCAATACTGCCAAGCCATGCACACTTTTCGTGGATTCACTTGAAGTGTTGAAGGGTCTTGTCACAACATTTGAAGAAAATGATTGGCTGGAAGAAACTGGTAAGACGGGTGCAGAGCTTTTCTGGTCTCCAAGCCCTCCATTATATTGCAATCTGTTGGTGTCATTGTTTGTTGGACAGGATGGCTCATCCTTCATGGAGGACTGCTTTGATGGTGAAACATTTCCCAGTTTCATCTGCTCTACAGAAGGGCAGGCATTGCTAGCCTCTGGGCTAGGTAAGCTCGGCATCTTATTTCCTTTATCTTTCTGTTCATTGCAAACAAGGGAAGGTACCAAGGATACTGTTGACGCCTGTGACATGTAGGACCTTCTTGGGCCATCAGTTGCTCTGCGAACAGTCTTGGAATCCTGGACCTTTTCTCTTTTGACACATGAGCTCAAACTTAAGCCAAGATCAGAGACACCCCATCTGTGAACAGCACTCAACTTGCCCCCCAAAGCATCAGCCAAGATATTAAGCTCATTGACATCATAGCGGAATAGGAAGAATCTTTTGTCCCAGTCACATGAGCAAAGTTGCTTTGCGTGTAACAGGCAAGCATACTTCTCTGGGCAGCATGGACAGCCAGAAGCAGAAAGATGCAAATCATAGTAGCAAAAAGCACACTCCCTATCAGTGGAATCAAACTCAGCATCCATTTTCCTAGATTGAGATGGAGAACATAGATTTTGCCTTTGCGCCAACTCCGTCTCAATTCGTGCCTAGACAGAGAAGTTGTAAAAATATAAGATTCCATTGAGTTCAACAAATTATAAATTATTATTGTCACTGTCATTTACCTTAAGTGATTTGCATATAGTGCTATCAGGTCCACATACACTTTTCCATCTCAAATTATCAGCAGTATTCCTCTTGAGGAATAGGATATCCCACTGAGCTCTGATTGCTTCTCTTGCAGCCCCCAACAACAGCTTATCATGGGAAACAGTTATTTTCCGAGATTGTTCACGATAAAGCTCTACAGCATTCTGTCCAACTGGCAACCAATCAATAGGTGCCACATTAACAGCTTCTGCACAATTGAAGCCACAATTGAACCCAGCATGGTACGCTCTCGGGAATGTCAGGACAAATTCGCCCTCACGCTGAACACAACGATATGCTTGAACTCCTTCAGAT